TCTCCATGCTTTAATGTTCAAAAAGCTCTTTATTTTTCTCATACTGCCTGTGCTGCAGCACCTCTTTTAACCCTCTGTCTGAAACCAGAGCCAACTCTGCTCTGATTGGTCAACCAAATAGAGATGTGTTGGATATGTCCCACCTCTTAGAATATCACATTGGAGTGCTAGCTAATAGAAGCGCAAGTGTTTTATAGTGGTGTCACTATGTTATGGAAGTAAACAAAGGAGTCCAATAAATACATTTCAGGTGAATGTGGGAGAGACACCCCCTGTGGAGGGAACCCCAAAAACAATAAAATGGCCCCTTTATTGTTTTCTTATCAGTCTCATTAAACATACTTTCCTTTTTTCTATTAATTTCAGTTTTTATTTACATAGTTCTTAATCATAGCAGAAGTTATCTCTTATGACCAGATCCATTTGTCAGGTGACCTAATATCCGCAAAGGTCTGCCTAACGGCCTACACGATCCATTACCTGCCCCTCATAAGTGTGGCTTAATGAAGACGAAAAACAGAGCTTTGAACGGATGCTTTCCTTAAACGTCTTAATCTGTTTAGCCTTTTCGCTGAGAAGCCAGAGGTTTGAACCAAAACCTTTCACTCCTCAGCCAACAATACCCACTAAAAGGACAGGTGAGTAAACAGCTTTTAACACGTCTTTGTCCTTTGTTACATTTCTCACTTACGTCATTATTTGGTTTTCGGCCCCAGCCTCCACCAAGACTCCATCCACGAACAGAGGCACTGCGGAGAAACTGTGTTGGGTCCACTGCCTCCCCTCATCAAAGCTGACCCTGTGTGTCAGAACGCATTCACATCACAAACCCAGCAACAACGATAGCACAAAGACAGACGCTCTCTATTAGAGCCTGGTCATGAGGGGATTTAGGTGGAGATCAGAAAGACGGGTCTCTGAGTCTCTGTGCAATTAGTTACTGTAGCTTTGGGTAAATATCAAAAGGCTGAGCATTAAAGGGAGTATTTAGGACAGACTGTCAGGTTCTAAAACAAAGATGCACAAACGTCTCTCCAGAAAGAAACGTCAGAGTTCTTTGGTAGAGTCTAGCAGGGGGGGATAAAAAATGAAAGACCAGAATAGAACTGTTTTAAGTTCAACTACAAAACTGCAGAGGGAGAATGAGACAGCGAAAACATCGGACATGCAGCTTTCATCATGGGGACCGAGCCTCTATTGATTCTGGCATCTTATCAACATTGTGCTGCAGTGAGAACAACTAAGAGTACCTGACAGTGACATGGGTAGAAACACTGCTGAGGCCTGTGTTCGGAAGAAAGAAACCCCCTGTGTTATTACTGAAAAAAAACCTTGATTTGGCTAAAAGCACTGTCAACTGGAAAGGCGTTGACATGCACCCATTATGAGATTCTGGCAGGAGTGGCAAGTGTTTAACACTGGCTGAGAAAGCAATACTGTTCTACTGTACAGTGCTGCAGGGTTCTTTCTATCTGTCATTTTTGTTCTTTCTTCCTCTACCATCACACTTAAATTGGTTAGGAGAAAAAAAAAAAGCAGGCTACACTTCACTGGCTCTAAAACTAATTTCAGAATTGTTGCAAAAGTGACTGGAGAACAGATCTGGTCTCACTTGGATTAGCCTGCAGTGAGGCAGAGCGTAGGCACCCAATTTGGCAAGAGGAAGGCAATGTGTTAATGAAAACATTGAAAGTGTGTGTGTGTGTGTGTGTGTGTGTGTGTGTGTGTGTGTGTGTGGGTGGGTGGGGTGGGTGTGTCGTGTGTAGTAGTAGTAGTAGTAGTAGTAAGTATGGGGGGGGGGGTCAGTGGGCTGTCTGTTAATGATAAGTGGCTTGAAAAAGAAATATCTCAAATTAGACTGACTGGCATTTTTTTTTGCAAGAGCCAAAGTGTGTTGTTAAATTAATCAAGTTTGGACTAACAATAGCTGTAAGACAGTTCTCTAAATTAACGTACCACAAGTGTTTGGTAGGCACAGATGGCTGCTTGACCGCAACGAGGGCCCCTCCTTTGTCCAGAAACCACACGTTGTGCTCCTCTTCAAAAATCTAAGCAGAAAGAAATCATTTTAATATTGATGCAACAGGCAAACTATGACTTTTGCAATTACAAGAAACCCTGATTTTAGCAATGACCATTCGCTAGCCCCACCAACATTTTGGTGAGTATGCACTCCTCTTCCTACCAATATTTCTTAGTGAATATGCTCCCATGTGAACATGGCTCTCATGCATATAGGGTTACGATAAGGGGTTTGGGCATGACAATTGAATAATAGACATAAGCACAGAATAAAAGAAGAAAGAAGAAAATAAATAATCGCAACATAGAGTTCATCTTACAAAATGTGTGTTTCTAGAAGTGGTATTTTTTAATGCAGATATGTGACATTAAGCTAGCTTGCGCCAAACTCTGAAACTAAAGCAGCTACATTTAATTATTATTGGCACATCATGTATCAGAAATGATGTATCAGATATGTCCTACGAAAACTCTTTGTGGAAAGCTTGACAGGTGTAGCAACAGTAACTAAGGAAGCAGGGCTTAGTAAAGTATACATTAGGTTATATGAAAAAAGCCTTTAGCTTTGCGGTGGTGACGCACAGCCATTTAGTAGTGTTAATGTGTGGAGATTATCCTGCTGAACAAAACGCTTTAGTATCATAAATGTGTGTTTGCAAAAGCTTGGCTTAGTCAAATATATCCTCGCTGCACCACTCTATACATTTGGTAATCATGTAGCCTAGTTCTTATATTAAAACGTCAAACTGTTGTAAAAGTCTGTCATTTGACTTGACCTCACTGTGACGCTCACCTGTCTCCAGCTATTGCCAGCATCAGACGATATGAACATGCCCACGTTGTTGTAAGACAGCTCTGCTCCAATATTTCCTGCAATGAAAATGCCAACAGAATATGTGACACAACTGAAATGGATAACTCACAGATAAAGGGGCCATGTTTTTAAATACAAGCTGCCAATCACACCACAGCTGTGATTAATCATTCCTCTGGCTAGGTTCCCAGATCAGCTTTCCATCTCCTATTCATGTGGATAATACAGAGAAGACCCTAGGTTAATTCTTATGGATGCCTGCATCATTCAGGCACCATCATGTGAGATGTGAAGGCGGGGGCCTCCTTCGCTCTGGCAGTTTGCAGCGTTACAACATAATGCCTCCAAAGCTTTTCCTGCGAGTGTGCACGAGTGAACTGACTTCTCCCGTTGATCCGCTCTACTATCTTGGCCACGGCTCAGTAAATAGGCATGTGTTTGATCTGGATGGTGTTTGTCATGTTGGTGAGATGATCTCCGCGCCAGCTGACGTCTTAAAAGGCGCAGCGGGCAAAGTGAATCACGGTGCCAAAGCAAAGGCTCGGCCAGAGATACACATACGCACAAAGACACACTGTGCAAGCAGAGCGGCGGAGTGGTATGTTTATTCAGCATTCGCACACACAAAAGACAAAACAGACAGATCTAAAGACTCGGCACACACACTCACGTAAGGACATACACACTCTTTTCACAGTTGTTTCTGTTGACACCGCCACTGGTGCTAAGGAATCTATTTATTCTTAAATCATCTACATGTCCTTGCTTCAACTCTTTCACATGATCTAGCAGGTAGTGGCACCTTTTCTCTCCATGCATAATTGGCTGTTTGATGAAATTACATCAAAACAGGTTGACATGTGATCCACAACATGCTTGTGGAAGAAGTGAATATCCTGCAGTGCTCTGTGCCCAGTGTAGCTTAAGGAATTACTGAACATGGTACTTAAGTGAGAGGGCATGCAAGGGTCACAGTGCTGAGGCATTATTTTGTCTACAGCTGACTGGAACAATACAGTACAACCCCAAAATATCAGTTTTTGAAAAATATGAATGAACATTTATCTAGCTCAAACTCACACAGGCCCTGCCCTCTTTTGGTCTCATGGGTAATGCCCTAAGCCCCCAGAAAGTGCACATACCGCTGAAGAGAACCTTTGTAGTGGCCAAACCGCTACAAAAGCAGTTGTGTACTACGGTACAACAAATGTCAGCCCATGACATAATTGGGCCCAAAAATATGTCTGTGAATCAGCATTTTTTTGTTGTTGAGCTAAATAAACTATCCGGCACAAACACTTTAATAGCCCTTATTTAAAGAGTAACTTGCAGTTTTTTTTTTTTACTACATTTATGCTTAACCTTGCCTGAAAATTACAATTAAAAATGTTAATGCAGGATTTGATATGTTTTACAAGACATAAGGGCAGGAATTCAGAGGAAAAGGAGCCGTTGTGAGCTCTGCTACTAAAAACTGCTTTTTTTTTACC